CTTTTTCCCTCTCTTCCCATCTCTCTAAAAATAAATAAATAATTTTTTTAAAAAAAGTAGGATGGATAGACAATATGTGGTATATCCATTTAGCCATAAAAAGGAACAAAATAATGATAAATGCAGGAATATGGATGAACCTAAAAATCATGCTATGTGAAAGAAGTCAGACACAAAACAGTATAAACCATATGATTCCATTTTATAAGAAATTTCAAGACCAGGTAAATCTACAGAGACAGAAACTAGATCAGTTGTGCCTATGGCTAGGGATGGGGGATGGGAACCAGGAAAGAATGAAAATGGGAACAGTGGAATTTGGGGGCCTGTCATAAAATGCTCTAAAACTATATTGTGGTGATGGTTGGACAACTGTGTAAATATATTAACCATTAAACTATATAATGGATGAATGTTATCGTATATATTATACCTCAGTAAGGTGGTTATAAATGTCAAGTAAAAATAGAGCCTTTGTCTTTATAGATACATACTGAAATAATTGTGGCTGAAGCACTATAACACTCATGAAGTTTATTTCAGAATAGTCACTATGGGGGATTTAGGGTGTAGAGGTATAGGTGAAACAAGATTGGCCTTGAGTTGATCACTTATGCAGCTGGGTGTGGTCTATTTTAGTCTACATTAGACGTTTTTCATAATATAAAGGCTTAAAAGAATAAAGGTAAGTTTCACGAAGGATACCACCCTTTCCCTCATGATTATGAGTACCTTGATATGCTGATACCCTAGCTTCCCTGTGTGAGTGGGGGCGGATGGAAAGGAGGAGCACGAGGGACAGCCCCTGGATTGTATACTTCATAGGTGCAAAAGGTATTAAAAGTATAGATCAGATTTAGGGATCATCTTTTCCTCCTTTCCTTCCTCTCATATCCTACATTTAATCCTGAGCAAGCAAGTCTTGTTTTTTTTCCTTAAAAATATGTTCAGAATCTGACTCCTCACAACTTCCAGGGTTACCCCTTAGGGACGAGGCCCTCTCATCTCCTGCTGGAAGTTTGCAGTAGTCTCTGACCTTCCTTCTTCAGTCCTTGCCCCCTCAGTCTATTAGCAATAGCAGCCAGGGATCCTCCTAAAGCCTAAGTCCAATCAGGTCACACCTCTGCTCAAAACTAATTAACGCAATTCTGAGGAAACAGAAGAGGATGGAATATTTACCAATTTCTTTTTTGGACAGGAAATAGGATTTATTGGTGGGCACAAGTAAGGAACAACACTGAAGCCCTCAGAAGTACAGGGCCCACCATTTATTTGTCCAGGGGCCAAGATTTGAGATGTATTTGACCTCAGAGCCATCTGGGGTAAGCTGCTTTTTGGCCACCATGTCTTCGAATTCATCTGCATTAAATCTGGTAAAGCACAGTACTTAGAGATGTGGCTTTTTTATTGACCAAGGAACTTGAACTTGGCCTAGAATAGAACCTCAATCGCATACTCCTTGATCCGCAGTTTGGTGCAGATGGACATGGTAACTTGGCCAATATGGGCCCTAGACACTAAGTCCTGGGGCTTTCTGATGGCATCCCATATAACTGTCCAGACCCTGCAGCCCCAGCACAGGACAGCATCTTGTTGATGAGGTTGCTGTGGAAGGCAGAGAACCATACTCAGTCAGATATGAAAGCCATCCTGGCCACATCTTTCCACCATGTGTTTGTTGGCACAAATATAGGCAAGCTCCAGGGCTTCAGAGGAGAGCTGCTCACATGCATCTGACACCATGTAGCCACAGAATGGGAACTCACCCACTTTTGCCTTTTTCTGCCATAGGTCAAAGATTTAGACCTTAGCTCTGGCTAGTGTGGCTCACTGAACTGAACACCAGTCAGCAAATCAAAAGGTCGCTGGTTCGATTCCCAGGCAGAGCACATGCCTGGATTTTGGGCCAACTCCCTGGTTGGAGGTATGCGAGAGGCAACAGGGTGATGTATCTCTCACACATCAATGTTTCTCTCCCTCTTGTTCTCCCTCCTTTCCTCTCTATGAAAAAAAAAGGAAAAAGGAAAAATGCAGATCTTTGCATCAAGGACACCTTGGCAGAAGGGAGACTTTGGGAACCACTTGTTCTAACAATGGGCAGTGGGGTGGTGGCCATGGCAACACCAGAGGGGAACCGCAGGAAAAGAGACAATTTATTTTATGAAACCAGCAATACTTTGATACTAAGCCAGATAAAGACCATATAAGAAAACTATGGACTGTTCTCCCTTATGTACATAGACACAAAATTTCATTAAAATTGCAAACCAAATCTAGCAATGTACAAAACGGGTAATACATCGAATCAAGTGGAGTTTATATAGGAATGCATAGTTGGTTTAACATTAGAAACCTCAATCCTCATAACTCTGCATATCAACAGATTAAGCAAATGCAGAAAAAGTAATTAAAATTCAATACCCACTTATGAGAATAACTTCCCAAAGTATGATTATCTTGACAAATGGTATTATTAAAGTCCTACAACTAATATACCTAATGGTGAAAGATGGAATGCTTTTCCTCCTGATTAGGATGAAAATAAGCATGACTACTTTAACCACTTTTATCCAACATTGTACTGAAGATCCTAGCAAGAGCATAAGGCAAGGAAAATAAATAAAAGCTGAAGTTTGGAGAGAAAGTAAAACTGTCTTTATTCACATATAATGACAGTTTATATAGAAAATTCTAAGCATTTATCCAAAAACATCCTCTTAAAACTCAGAACTGAATTTAGCAAAGTCTCAGGATACAAAATTAATATATAAAAATCGAGTGTATTTCTTTTTTTTTTAAAGATTTTATTTATTTATTTTTAGAGGGGAAGGGAAGGAGAGAGGGAGAGAAACATCAAAGTACAGTTGCCTCTCCTGCAGGGGTTGCATCCCCTGCTGGGAACTGGCCTGCACCAAGGCATGTGCCCTGGCTGGGAATCGAACCACGATCCTCTGGTTTGCAGGCCTGCGCTCAATCCACTGAGCTACACCAGCCAGGGCTGTATTTCTCTTTTAAAAAACATTTTATTTTTAGAGAGTGGGGAAGGGAGGGAGAAAGAGAGGGAGAGAAACATTGATCTGTTGCCTCTCACACGCCCTCAACCAGGCATGTACCCTGACCAGGAATTGAACCAGGGACCTTTTTTTTTTGTCACTGGCTAGTGCTCAATCCATTGAGCCACACCAGCCAAGGCTCAATTGTATTTCTATGTACCACCAATAAACACTTAAAAACCAAAAGTCAAAAGTCAATACTATTTTCCTACCATTCACATTTATTTTTTTTACTGAATTTATTGACTCAACAAAAACTACCACTAGCATTTCTCCACACCCTTTCTTCTATCACCCTACACAGGTGACAACATACTAATTCTTTTTATGGGTAGAAGGGGCAAAATCATAACACTTTCTTTTAAACCCCAAAGTCTTGCCAATATTCTCATTTTTCCAAGAGAGGTGTCAACAAGTAATAAAGGTATAGAACTTAAAGTTACTAAGGGAGTCAACTGAAGAACTAAGAATTGTACCATAAATATAAGAAAAGGATAGAGGAGAGAAGGTACTTTGGTGGGAAATTTCAGCTAAATCCTTAGTGTAAGTGCTAGCACAGAGTATTATTTAGTGAGTTAACTGACGAAACAACTAAAAGAGTTTTCAAAGTAGTACTCTGGAGAGAAGGAAGGGGACAGGGTAAGAAAGACTGGGTCAGGGGTTATTTTTTTCAGATTGAGCCTTTCTACATGGGTGTTTATAAAAATCACATGCATAACTCTACTTCAATAAAATTATTTTGGGGAGAAAACAAAAGCAAAGCAAAGTCTAGGAGAAAACACAAAAGACTGTCACTAGCACAGATTATACTGTAGTCCAGTATTTAATTTGGGGGGGGACATCTAAAAATATAGCTAACGAGACATACATGAATGGGAGTGAAAACCCCATCTAATATAACTACCCAGTTTAGGAAAGTCTAAGTGATAAATTATAAAACTCCCAGCCTTCTGCAAAATAACTTATCACTTAACATTCTTACTCAACAAACTTAAGACGTTCCCCCTTAAATTTCGCACCCCCCTTTACCCTACGTGTATTGTTTTGCTCAATCTTCCCTGGAGACATCTTCCTGTTTATCTTCACAACAATTAGGTGCAAAAACAGATGCAGATAAGTAGTGTGAAGTCATCCCTCTACTGGTCAACTGAATAATTACACCCTACTCTGCTAGACAACTTTGGTGTATGTGAATCAACAAAGCGCACACAGTTAAGGCATGCCCATTGTTGAACATAGACTAAAACAGGGGAGAGCAGAAATGCAGCCCCCCACTACCACAAATTATGCAGTTAAGATTTCCACAGTTGGGGAAATTGCAGGAGTCAGCACACCCAGAGTACAATAGGTGACCACCTTCATGATCACCGTATATCCCCTGAGAGGTAAGAATGAATTGCTGGCATTTCCAGGCATCTTATCCTCAGATTTCAAACACTCAACACATATGGTCACTCTCTTCATGCAAGTCCTAGACCATCGCAAAATAAAAATTTTCTCCAAATCACAGTAAAAGCCAAACAATGACATTTTGGTTTCCTGTAATATTTGCAAAAATCAGAAATGTGTATGTACAATATAAGTAAGACACTGCACTCATTTGCATACCCCAAGCACCTTTCAGTGACATCATTTAATAGCTCTGTGACAGTCTTACCCTACTTAATGCAAAAGAGATTTTGCAGATGTGATTTAAGGATTTGAGGTGGGAAGACTACCCTAAACTATCCAGGTGGGCCTACTGTTGCTACAGGGGCCCCAAATAGAAAAATAGGAAACAGGCCAGCCACAGAAACACATGTAAGAACAAGACAGAAGAGATGTCAACCTAGAGAAAATACTAAACTTGCTGAGTGTAAAGTGGAAGAAGAAACAACAAAGAATATATACACCTAGCCCCCCCCCCGGAAGTACCTTACCAAAGTCTTCCCTTAGACAGACTTGACCAGGGGAGAGTACAAACACAGTCCCCACTACCATGAATTATGCAGTCAAGTTTTCCACATTTGGGGAAATCACAGGAGTCAACACTTCCAGGGTGCAACAACTGAGTTTCACTTTGGGAAAACACACTCCTGACCAAGGCATCTCTCCTGCCAGGGAAGTACAAGCTGATGGTATCAATAGGCACTTAACCCTCAGGTTCAAATCACTATAAAGATAGGATGCCTTTTATTATGCATTCCATTGACCCTCTTCTATAATAAAGACTCTCCCAACTACAATTACCATGCAGCAATATTTTGTATATCTGGATATTGTCTTAGGAGACATATGTCTAGTGTGAGCACTATCAGCAATCACTGCCCATATCTACATATCCCACACTCCTTTTGATGATCTCATTTAGCATCCTTTTCCTAACATAGTGGTGCTGTTCAAATAAAACAAGGTAAAGATAATCTACAGATTCAGAGATTAACAAGATAAATTTGTTCTTTACTTCAAGAGCTTGGAATTAATGACATCACTGTGACATCTGGCACAGGTCATCAAGGTACTAGCTACGTAACTGAAAGGTCAGTTTGCATCTAAATTTCAATTTCATCTAAAAAGATGAAATTTGGCAAAACTGTGTTTAAAATTCCAGCCCATGTATTGCTAAAATAGTTTGTCAGTTCAAAGTTTCAAGCACAAGTACTAAACATGCTCTTCCAAATATGTGACAAAAGATCACCCTTACTTGAAAGATCAATTGCACATACACTAATTCTAATTTTGAACCAACTGAACTAGGGAAAAGCTCACACAGGGACATCTACATTTACACATTTGAAGAAGTTGAAGAGATCCACATAGTGGGAGTGTGATGATGGCCCTCACTGTTGAAAATCCATCTACCTTCCTAAGACTGTCTCCCCTGCCAAGCAAGAATAAGTGCTGCTTCATTTACCCTTCAACTTTCTCGTGATTCCTGAGCCCTCTTAGACTCATACTTCGAAAAGAACATATCCTGTCTTAGGCAATGGTTAATAATCCACATATTTCATGTCCGGATAATAAATATTACCAGGTGCTAGCTTAGGCAGCATATATACTAAAATTGGAACAATACAGGGATCAGCATGGCTCATGCACAAGAATGATACACAAATTCGTGAAGCTTCCATATTAATAAACTATACACAGACACTCAGGGTCTGGCACAAATAACGCCCTTTTTATTACAAATTATTTTATTACAAAATCATAAGCATGCAATTCTGTAACATAACAATATCACACTCAAGCACAGCATATAAAATTTTAGGTGAAATGTTCAAATTAAAACTATATATTATTACACCCATATTATTACCCTACCAACCACACTCAAGCAGGCGTTACTTCTGCCACACCCTGTATTAATGCTTATTTAATATGTTTTAAATGGCTTACCAATTAAATCCTTCAATTCTTCTCTAAAAACCTGTTTGAGAAAACCTGACACTATAATCCCATAATCCTATATCCTCTCACACGCACACCCACTGGGGATGGACCGGCAACAGACCCATGTGCCCCACCAGGGCTCTGGCCGAACTCAAGCATGTGCCCTGATAAGAATAGCACCCCCAACTTCTTGGTGTACAGGGTAACACTCCAACCAACTGAGCCACACTACCCCGGGTGATTATACAGAGATTTTTTAAAAATCTTGAGAACGAACATGAAAACAATAATTACAGACAACTCAAGCGTCAGAATAAGACAGAGATAACAATTGTAGAGCTACAGATACAGCCAACTACCGGTAGTTTCTTAACTCTTCAATGCCAATAAAACACAATTCTAAACGACAGATTCTACTGAATTTCACCAAACTAACTGAAGAGCTATCTTTTAATGTATTAATGCCATCTCTTTTTCGCCCAAGACACTGGTTGCTTTATAAGCATAAACATGAATTCTCCCTGTGGACAACTCATGAAATGTCCACTGTGTGCCCATACGTGGATAATACTAGAGGTTATGCAACGTATTGAGTGGCAAACAAACCACATTTTGATCAGCCCTACCAGACCTTCTCTGCCACACCAAACAGGGGACAAACAATTCTCGAATTCTGCCATTTCAAGGAAGCTTGCGGTAGAAAAAAAAAAGGGTATTAGGCTTTAACTTTGGCTTCAAGAAAACTGTACTATGAGCTCCTGTGTTCTCTTTTCCCTCGTGGAATTGTTGCGAGCACTTGAAATGGGTAAGATTTGCTAACTTGGTCAACATACTTTTCCTTCCTTAGATATTATGTATTTAAGGGCTCTAATTTGCACTATTTAGGGAGTTCTTTTAGAAAGAAAAGTTGAAGCTAAGAATCGTCCTCCAGTTCCTGAAAGGAATCATAACTCACCCAGGCAAGGAAAGACTTCGTAAATCACCTCTCGAGTCTCTTAAGGTCCTGTTTTAGAAGCGGTCCATTCCGAACTCGGTACCAGAACTCAACTACTCCATCTCAGAACAGGGGGTGCCCATGCTCAACCCACTAGGGGGATATTACCTACTTATTTTTTCCAGCTATTTTTTAAGCTAGACAGGCCGTTAAGAGTCAACGGTTTCAGAATCCACCTTTTTCAAACTGGACTCGCGGAAAGGCGTGGGTGGAGGCCGGAATGGGGCGCGGAGCAATCCTCGCGGAGGTGGCAGGCTAGCCCACAATTCCTCGCGAGGGCGAAGGCAGGCAAGATGAGGGGCCAAGCAAGGGGGCAACAGGCAAGAAAGGCTGAGGCTGGGAACTCTATAATGGGGACAGAGATTAATCCTTATATATCCGTTTCATATCCCAAATAGGTAACTGGCCGGTGTGTGCGCGATTATTCCCACTCAGGCGATCATTCTCACTAACGAGCTTGAGGTTTCACCCAATGGGCCAGGGCAGAAATGAGAATATGTGGTGCTTAGGGTCCACTGAGCCTGGCTTCCAATCTTTAGATCTGCATCTATCTTTTCACTGTGAGAGTATACTTTTAATGAGGGAACTGCAGTGGGATTTGTAAGATTTACGACAGAAATAACGCGGCCGTTTAGCAATATAGTATGCCTCCGCAGAGCGGCAAAGCACAAGGCCTCGTGCCGCCTGACAAGAGACCCCGCCCCTTCCGCTTTACGCCTGACGTCACGCGGCACGGCCCGTCGCCAGCCAGCGGGATTCGGCCGTTTCGGGGTTAACAGCTGTGAGCGGCTGCGCGCGTTGCCCTCTGGCTTTGAAATGCAGCGGGATTTACTGAGTTTCCCCTTGTCCCCAGCAGTGCGGGTGAAGATGGTGTCTGCAGGTTTTCAGACTGCTGAGGAACTCTTAGACGTGAAGCCCTCCGAGCTCAGCAAAGGTAACCACTCCCAACGTTAGGCTGTGGGACACGGGCCGCCGTTTGTGCCGCTTCTGTCTGGTCTCCCGCCTCAGGTGTCAGTTCAGTCTCCGCAGCTGTCGCCCTCTATAGCGCGAAAACGCTCCTTGATGACCCTTAAAATGGTATGAATGGTTGGAACTGTGGCCCTGGAAACATTTATTAATTTCTGTGTCAGTGCTTGCTGAATGCTCCGCGGTTTATGTCGTTTACTCTCAGAAGAGCCCTCTTACGTGAACCATGTCCTACAGATGTAGGACCTGATGCATCGGGAGGTTCAGTGACTTTTCATGATGACTCGGCTAGGAAAGTGATGGAGCCAGGATTGGAACTCACATAGGTTATCTGATTTTCGCTGGTCCCTAGTCCAAGGGGCGGGCACTAAATTGAAGAAATGAAGGATTCGTTAGAGGGCTAGAGACCGTAAGAACAGGAGTAGAATCCCCAGAATCTGGAGAGAGGAGTAGGAAGAAGACCTCATTGCTTTTATGTAACTCCCTAAAAAAACCCCAGAAACCTCACATTCCAGAACACTAGGTAATACGTTGGTGGGATGCAGTGCATCCTGAGGCATATAAAAATAAAGCTGTCACCCTGGCTGGTGTGACTCGGTGGTTAAGTGCTTGCCTGTGAATCAAAGGGTTGCTGGTTGGATTCCCAGGTCGGGCGGGCACATGCTTGGTTGCAGGCCAGGTCCCCAGCAGGGGGCGCTCAAGAGGCAACAACGCACTGGTACTTCCCTCTCTTCCCCTTCCCCTCTCTAAAAAATAAAATAAAATAAATAAAAATAAGGCTGTCTGCTGTCGGTCTCACTGTGCACATTATGCTATGGTGTGTCTAGAACTATAGTGTCCAGATAGAACAGAATTTTAAGTCATTGCCTGTAATGTAAAATGGTTTCAACTAGCCACTCAAGAATAAATGTAGACCTAATGTTGACTATTTGTTTTAAATCTTAGACTGCACATTGTGTCCCCCAAAATTTTATGGGCTCTTTTTCTTTCAACAAGTTGGTTTTACAAAAAAGAAATGAGAGAATATGAATGATAATAAAGTTAACAGATGTTGAGCATTTTGGATGTCCTGGTATTCTACCAAGCTTTTTACATGTATTGTCTCATTCCTGTTTTACAGAAGGAAAAACTGAGACACAAAAAAGTAACTTGCCCAGATATGATGGCCGCATAGTCAGTGGTGCAGTTAGACTTTACAGACCTAAGTAATCTGACTCCAGAGTTCAGGCTGTTAAATTGGATGGGGTATTCATTGCCTTATCACCATTATTGTCACTTATTAGCACCAAATTTATAGTTCATATCCTTACCAAATCAAGCACTGTATATCAAACTTATAAGTGATACCATTCTCACTATTATTTCTTCATTTAGCAGCTTGTTTTGTAATTATCATTTTCTTTTCTCAGGCTGTATTGTCAAATAGGAATGAAATTATGTAAATGAGGAAAGCATAAGGACATTGTTTAAAATATTTGTGCATCAAATAATTGTTCTCATTAAATAGTTTGCATTGATACATGAATTTTTCATGCCATTATTTCAGTGAAAAACATTTTTAAAGATTTCATTTATTTATTTTTAGAGAGAAGGGAAGAGAGGGAGAGAAACATCAATGTGAAAGAGATACATCCATCAGTTGCCTTTTGCATGCCCCCCAATGGGGCACTGGCCTGAAACCCAGGCATGTGCCCTGACTTGGTATTGAACCAGTGACCTTTTGGTTTGCAGGTCAGCACTCAATCCACTGAGCCACACCAGCCATAGCTCAGTGAAAAGTTTTTATTAATAAAATAGCATGCACTTGCATTTCCTAAAGTCGCATTTTGTTTTAGGCAATTAAAGAAGCCATTTTCATTCTCTTCTGAAAAATAATTTGCATACCTTACAAGAACAACATAATTATGGCTTCAGATAATTTTGGTCATACACCAAAGGGGATAGTAAAAGGACTGACTGCTAATATATTTTTATTTCTACATCCTGAGACACTTTTGTAGGTACTTATAAATGCTTTAGAGGTTTAGGTTTTTGAATTCTGTTTCTGAGGTAATAAATCTTTTAAGTCATAGAAATACCTTTATTAACTTGAAAGGCTAAATAGTTAATGGAATGTTACATTTTCATGTTTCTTTATTCTTGGCATCATTCTTATTAGTAAAATTAATTAAGATACCCTGGCTGGTGTGGCTTAGTGGATTGAGTGCTGGCCTGTGAGCCAAAGGGGTCACTGGTTCAATTCCCAATCAGAGCACATGCCTGGGCACATGCCACGTCACCAGTAGAGGGGCACGTGAGAGGCAACCACACATTGATCTTTCTCTCCTTTTCTTCCCTTCCCCTCTGTCTAAAAACAAATTTTTAAAAAACCTTTAAAATTAATGAAGACAACCAAATAGCATATTACACTGTTTTAAATCTCTTAATTTGGATTTTTTTTCTTGCTCTACTTTCAGAAGTTGGTATATCTAAAGAGGAAGCCTTAGAAACTCTGCAAATTATACGAAGAGAATGTCTCACAGATAAACCGGGACATTCTGGTACAGCTGAATCAGGCAAGAAGTGTACAGCACTGGATCTTCTTGAGCAGGAACATACCCAGAACTTCATAATTACCTTCTGTTCAGCACTAGATAATATTCTTGGGGGTGGAGTACCCTTAACCAAAACAACAGAAATTTGCGGTGCACCAGGTGTTGGAAAAACACAATTATGGTAAACTAAAACGTTTCTTTCTAAAGGGTGGGCTTAATAACATTTTATGTAATAGATTACCATGTTATGGGTCTGTAGTCAGACCAAAAGAGGCATGTGTGAATATACAGCATCAAACAAAAACCAACTTATCATTTACGTTACTTTAGCTCTCCAGCTTGCTAAATTGATATATTTATTTAGATATTAAAAAATCTTTCCTTTATAACATTATAAAGAAGTCATTAGGATAAATAAGCGGTATTCTACTTTATTATATAGTTAATTCTTGAGAATATATTTGAAAGTCAAATGTTTGAAAGTATATTTATGTATAATAAAGGATTCCATTCCCAGGGGCCTAAAAAAATCATTAAAATTCCTTAATCATGATTTTATAGGCACACTCTTTCCCTATTCCAAGCATCAGTTGATTCACGTATACAAGGTGAAGGAAAAGTAGGTTTACAGTAGTTCATATGAAAAATAATAATACAAGAATAAACTATTTCATGTACTCAAAACTGTATACCCATTCTTGCTCTACCTTGTATTTGGAGCCATAGAAAATCAGCCATCTTTGTTGTATGGGGCAGTATATTTAGTGGTACCTAATGGATGGTTATACGGAGTTTAGAAGACATTATCTTAGAAGATCATGATAATGATTTATTCATTTGACTTCTTTCTCTTGATAGTATGCAGTTGGCAGTAGATGTGCAGATACCAGAATGTTTTGGAGGAGTGGAAGGTGAAGCAGTTTTTATTGATACAGAGGGAAGTTTTATGGTTGATAGAGTGGTAGACCTTGCAACTGCCTGCATTCAGCACCTTCAGCTTATAGCAAAAACACATATGGGAGAGGGTAAGTTAGCACGTGATTATCTTTTTTTCTGTATAATAAAAAAATTGCACTCATTTGGACTCATCCCAGTCCTTAGCAAGAGAACTTTTAAAAAGTGAAACTTAATGACTCAACAGTAGACTAGTGTTAAATTCTTATATCCCTCTTACAAAATGAGAAATGCCACAACCTGGATTGGCCTTTTATGGCCCTCACTTCTTCCTGCAGAAGCTGTAGGGCAAACCTTTGTGTAAGTATTTCAGTGTATGACTTCAAATCATGCTTTGACCTGCCAGGTGTAAACTGATTTTGTTGGAGACTTTAATATAAGTGTTGTCTCAATGCATTCACTATATTGACTTTCATACTGTTTTTTCCAAAAATCAAAGGTAGTTTAGAAAAACCATGTCTGGAAATATTTGGAACATGAAGCCGATTGACCTTTGGGGGGGCTATGAATAGTATGGAATTGACTTCATGACTATGTTAATTATATTTCTAAAGTGTTTGAGAAGTTTTTTTTTTGCATTTATCATGTAGAAATCAAGTGTTTGATTTTTTAAAAATTAAAGGTAATGTATATTCAAGTTCTTGTCCTTTTTTAAAAATTTTATTTATCTGTAGAAGGGAAGGGAAGGAGAGACGGAGAGAAATATCAGTGTGCGGTTGCTTCTCATGCATGCCTTGGTGGGAACTGACCCCTGCTGGGAACTGGCCTGCAACCCAGGCATCTGCCCTGACAGGGAATTGAACTGCATTCTTTTGGTTCTCAGGCCGTGCTCAAGCCACTGAGCTACACCAGCCAGGTGTCCTTTTAATTACTTATAAAATTAAATGGTTTCTGGTTTGACTGATTTGGGTTTTTTTTTACTTTGTTTAATTTTATTTTTTGGATGTGCAGTTCTTAATTCTTTTCTCTAGAAGTTTTAAAAACAATGCTTTTTTTATACACTTGTAATTCCTTTGAATGCTTGTTATTTTCCCTGAGCAGGGTGGCTGAGTTGGTTGGGTGTTGTCTCCCATATAAGAGGCAACTGATTGATGTTTCTCTCCCTTTCTTTTCCTCTCCCAATACGTATGTACATACCTACATACATACATACATACATACATAAAATGTGTGTGATCAGCTGGGGTTTTTTTATTTTTATGGGAGTGCTAGGTGTTTTTTCTAACTGATGACCAGTATAACTACCGAAAGTCCTTAAAGCTACTTGTGTCACAACGTATATTTATAATAGTGTCTTAAAATATTGTAAATACTGTAGGTGTAATTATAAACACTAGGATACACACCTCTTGGTGATTGGTGTATGATTAAGGTGTTATTTTTTAGTGAAAAATGAACTTTTAAAATGTATATTTGCAATAGGCAATGTTTTTTGAAATTTAATTTACTGTTTTTTGTTTGGTTTTTTTTTGCAGGGGGGGTTAAGCCTTAAGTAACATTTAGAAATGCAACAATTTTTAACTGGTTTTTCTCTGAAATATGTACAGAGCCAAATGGTATTTTTAAATCCAGTCTAAGTAGGGAATATCATTTTTATATCATTGTTTCTACTTTAATTATCAAGTAATACTATGGCATTTAAGGGGAGGAAAAATGCTTCTTTTGGACATTTTTACTTTTAACTTAGTTTGTAGTCCTATTAAAAAAACAAGACAGAAATTCTATTATGCTACTTTCATTCAAAAGAAGCCAATAATTAGAATTATGAAGTGACAGGCATTAAAATTTGTTGTATATATGTATAAACAATTTCTAGATAGTCTAGTATATAAGGAAACAGTAGGAAAGTATTATTATGAAAGTAATATGGGAATTATAAAATGATAGTTCATAGTAGTGTTGCTGTAATTTTATCTTTCAATTAAAGTTAATATTTTTGTTAGTGAAGCATTTTGTTTTTCAAAGGTTTTTTTTATAGTCACCAATATTTCAAAACAAGTAACTCTAATTATTTTAAGATTGTTTTGTTGTTTATTTCAGAGCACCCCAAGGCTTTGGAGAATTTCACTCTTGAAAATATTCTTTCTCATATTTATTATTTTCGTTGTCGTGACTACACAGAGCTCCTGGCACAAGTTTATCTCCTTTCAGACTTCCTTTCAGAACATCCAAAGGTATGGCTCAAACCACTGAAATAATGTAACTACCATATTTTGCCATGTATAATGCATACCTTTTTGAGGGAAAAGTAAGGATGTGCATTATTCATGAGTAGTACCTGAAATATCTTGTATTATTCTTGTGTTTTGTATTTGTTACATAAATTTTTTGTACCATATGTTAAAAAATAAATGCTAAAATTCCTTTGTATTATAAAAAACAAGTGTCTGAATATAAATGATTTAAAAATTGAATTAAAAAATTAAAACAAAATATTTTTTTCCTGAAAGTTTGGGCCAAAACGTGGATGCACATTATACACAGGAACACCTTATACATGGCAAAATATGGGTAACTAAGTATCTTTGAAGGTGTTTGGTTAACATGAAAAATAAGTAAATGTACAGTGTCATAAGTAGTAAATCTCTTCCTTTCTTGTCCTACAACTTATTAATGTTTATATTTATTTAGCATGTATATGTAAGGAAGAAATGGAGATGATATAGAAAGAGTTTCCACCTCCAGTAATGGTGGAATGGCTCCTATCAAACAAACTGTACAGAGAGGCATCAAATGGAAATTAAACTTCCTTCTGCTGCTTCCTGGTATCTCTTCTCAAAGTTGACCACTATTAACAGTTCCTTGTGTGTCTTCTCAAAAAATTTTTTATACATATTAAACTATCTAGCCCCCCCATTTTTAACATTTTTTAATGGGATTATATTGTAATATTGTTCTACACTTTCTATTTTGGCTTAGTGCTTTACATATCTTTTTGTATCATCACACACAGAATGACCTTAGTCTTTTTAGAGAGAGGGGAATGGAGGGAGAAAGAGAGGGAGAGAAACATCAGTGTTTCCTTACCCCTCACATACCCCTCAACTGGAGACCTGGCCTGCAACTCTGGCATGTGCCCTCACCTTGAATTGAACCAGCAACCTTACTATTTATAGGTCTGTGCTCAATCCACTGAACCACACCAGCTAGAGGTAGACCTTATTCTTTCAGCTGCATATTTCATTTTAAGAAGGTACTTTGATCTAGTCTAAGTTAGCCTACCTCTCCCTACTACCTACTTATTTTTTGTCATTTTCACCCAGATTTAGCATCTTTTTTTTTTTTAAGATTTAAAAAGTTTATTTTTACAGACAAGGAAAGGGAGGGAGAGAGAAACATTGATGGTGAGAAACATCATTTAGTTGCCTCTCACACGCCCCTACTGGGGACCTGGTCCACAACCCAGACATGTGCCCTGACTGCGAATCGAACCCGTGACCTTATATTTTGCAGGACAGTGCCCAACCTGCTCCTGTGCCACACCAGTCAAGGATGTCTTTTTTCTTTTTGATCCTCGCCTGAGGATTGATTTTAGAGAGAGGAAGAGGGGGGAGAGAAAGACATCAATGTCAGAGAGAAACACATATCATTTGCCTCCCATAGGTGTCCCAACCTGGGATTGAACCCACAACTTAGGTATGTGCCCTGACTGGGGATCAAACTTGCAATCCTTTGGGCCAATGCTTCAACCAACGAGTCACTTGGCTGGGACCAGTTTTAGCATCTTCAGAGCTCCTATGCCCTGCATTGGGGACCTGGCCCAGGCATGTGCTCTGACTGGGAATCGAACCTGCAACCCTTTGGTTCACAAGCCGGTGCTCAATGCACTGAGCCACAACAGCCAGGGCAGTTTTTAAAAAAAATTTTAGCCCTGGCTGGTGTAGCTCAGTGGATTGAGCGCAGGCCTGGGAACCAAGCAACCATGGTTCGATTCCCAGTCATGGCACATGCCTGGGTTGCAGGCCAGTTCCCATCAGGGGACTCACAAGGGGCAACCATACATTGATATTTCTCTCCCTCTCTCCTTCCCTTCCCCTCTAGAGATAAATAAATAAAATCTTTAAAAAAATTTTTTTAAACTTATACAGTGCTTCTACAAAAGTTTCTTTTTAACCTAATTCTTATTAGATTAAAAAAAAAATCCTGCAGCTTTTCATTTGTTTACTCTTTACTGTAAGAGCCATTATTTGGATTATATTAGAAATGAAACTGTCATGAAAATATTTATCATCTATAAGTAAATCTTCTTGATTGTAATTCAAGACAGACCTGCCTCATGCGGAATTCTCTATTTTAACAGATTCTGTAATAGTTATTTGCCCTATAGTATATTCAAAATTAAGGAGAGCCCTGGTCTGTATGGCTCAGTTGGTTGGAGCATTGTCCCATAATGTGAAAGGTTGAAGGTTTGATTACCCACGAGGGCACATGCCTACATTGTGGGTTTGGTCCTGGTCTGGGCACCTATGAGAGGCATCTAATTGATGTTTCTCACATTGATGTTTCTTTCCCTCTTTCTCTCCTTCCCTTCTCTCTAAAATCAATAAGCATATCCATGGGTGAGGATAAAAAATAATAAAATAAAAATAAAGTCAACTTAAAAAATTAAAAAATAAGGGGGAGCCCTGGCTGGTGTAGCTCAGTGGATTGAGCGCAGGCCTGCGAACCAGACAATCGCAGTTCGAATCCCAGTCAGGGCACATACCAGGGTTGTAGGCCAGTTCCCTGCAGGCCAGTTCCCAGCAGGGGACGCACAAAAGGCAACCATACATTGATGTTTCTCTCCCTCTCTCCTTCCCTTCCCCTCTAAAGATAAATAAAATTTTTTAAAAAAGTCTCTAAGATAGTTTTAACTGGGTGAGAGACTGAAAAAAAAAATAAGGGGGAAAAGCATACCATTAAGTTTTTGAAGAAGCTATTATAATTTAATACTTTTTAAAATATTTTATTTATTTTTAGAGAGAGGGGAAGGGGAAGAGAAAGAGTGGGAGAGAAACAGCAATGTGTGGTTGCCTCTCATGTGTCCCCTATGGGGACCTGGCCTGCAACCCAGGCATGTGCCCTGACTGGGAATTGAACCAGCGACCCTTTACTTCACAGGCCGGTGCTCAATCCACTGAGCTACACCAGCCAGGGCTTTTTTTTTTTTTTTAATAATATTTTTATAATTTAATATTTGAAGAGTGTTTTTAACATACAAAGAATCCTGAGGGTAAAAGTGATGTATTTGAAAAACTTGTTTAAACCTTCAAAAGTGATTTTTATCAATGTAAAAATAGCTTTGTAAAAACTATGTACAAAGGGGAGGGGCCCAAAACCCCCAGAATTTATTTATAAAAAGTGTGTTTATTACATCTTAAACTTCAGTCACCCTCAAACTACTCTCCACTTGATATAGATGTTTTTTTCCACTGCTCAAAACAGTTTTTTAACTTGGCATTTTTTATTCCTTTTAGTCTACTGACATTTTTTGTTTCACCTCTTCTGCTTCTGGAAAATGTTTCCCTCTGAAGATGTTTTTCTTACAGGGAAACAAACAAGCCACTCTGGGTGAGATTGGGTGAATAGGGAGGGTGGAGCAGGGAGGTCATGCTGTTTTTGGTCAAAAACTGCTAGACACTCAGCACAGTGTGAGCAGATGTGTTGAAAGAGTCTTCAAAAATATTCACCTATCATGAATGGGCCAGATGCACTGAAAGAGTGTTCAAAAAAAATTCACTGAAACTGAACGAAGCCTCTGACAACACTACCAGCTGGTACACTGATACAGATGGGTTCCTAGAACACTCACCTACCAGGGGAAACCTCTACTACAAGGGGCCTGCCCTCCAGAAGATAATTCCAGGGGTTTTGGGGGTCTCCCCTCATATAGTGGCATCTGGTAAAAAAAATTGGAAATACTTGTTTTTCTTTTGGCTGAATTACTTTTTTAAGGGAATAAATTATCAAACCAGAATACATTTTAACTTCTAGCAATTAGTGCAAAAAGCATTGGATGAATAGATACATAATTATCCAAAATAAAGCCTTCGTAGAGTTGAAAATAGAACACTGGATTTTAAGGGTTTTTTTTTGTGCAGTGGGCTATGCTTTTTTGATATAATTTTATTTTTAATACCAAACCTCATCTCTGTTCTGTATTTAGGTCCGATTAGTGATAGTGGATGGTGTTGCTTTTCCTTTTCGTCATGACCTTGATGACCTATCCCTTCGTACTCGATTACTAAATGGCCTAGCCCAGCAAATGATCAGCCTTGCAAATAATCACAGATTAGCTGTAAGTATAATTAGTCGAGAGGATTTTATAATAAAAAATATTGTATCAAGTATTAATTTCTAGAAGTAGCAGAATAGAATTTGCCTGACTAGAAGCAAATACTATAGACATAGTTTTAAATGTACCTTTGTTTTGGTTTGGTTATTATTAAAAAATTAACTCCTGTCATAGTGTTGTTTATCATTTTTCTTGGAAAATAATAGACATAATCAAGATGCCATATTTAAAACATGGACTCTGATGAATAAATGCCACCTTTGGTAAATTATAGTGTTTTTTGTCTAAATATATGTGTGTTTTAGGTAAGCTCTTCCAACATTCCCATTTTTCTTTAACTGTGTGTATAATCACAGATTCAGAGAAAGAGGACTATTACATAGTGTGAACAACCAAGATCTTTGAAGGCAGAGCTAACTCTTCTAGATTTAATGTGAGGACAGGGTAAAGATAAATTCAAAAGTGAACAGTGCAGTCCTTTAATATCAATGAAGAGCCCCCAGTAGGGGGCACTCAAGACTAATAGTTCTTTATGTTTTTGTTTTTAACAGAAATAGCTTTATCTTTTCTGTTTAAAAAAAAAAGTAATCCAAACAATAACACAGAATACTATGCAGTATTTCAGGAGAGTAATGTAATTGTATGCCTACTAACATGGAACAAGTTATGTTCAGATATATGATCAAGTGAAAAAGTTCAAGTTGCATAACAATATATTTCATAGGTCTGCTGTTGAGAAAAATTATGTATAAGCATTTATACTTATATTTATGAAGGAAAATATCAAAAGGACCAGAGCAATAACAGTGGTTATTCAACAGTAGTAAAATCCTTCTAAAGATAGGATTTTGTGGGGTTGAGGGCATTCTTTCCTCTCTTACCTGATAAATTCTTCTTTGCTCGATTTTTCATTTCCTGGTTAGCAGGTATAGAAGCATGTATGACTATGATGATAAATACAATTTACAATTTTAAGTTATATGCTTGCTCTAAAAATTTCTAAACCAACAAAATGTAGAAAGTAAGCAATTATCTATTATCTGGCGATGATTATTGTTGAGCTTAGTATACATATTTTTCCAAACTTATTTTATGCATATATAAAACATATTTTTAAAGTAAGATCACATTATACATTATACATGTTATTATGCAAAGCAGTATTTTGTTCACTTACTATATTGTGAACATCTTTCCATATATACTAACTACTCTATAAGTCTACCTTAACAGCTACAGCGTATTTTGTTGTATGATTGTAAAAGTTTGGGTTTTTTTTTTTAAGATTTTATGTATTTATGTCTAGAGAGAGGGGAAGAGAGAGACATCAGTGTGTGGTTGCCTCTCAAGTGCCCCCTGCTCGGGATCTGGCCCTCAACCCAGACCTGTACTCTGACTGGGAATCAAACTGCTGACCCTTTGATTCTCAGGCTGGCACTCAATTCACTGAGCCTCACCAGCCAGGGCTGTAGAAGTTTTTTTTTAAACTACTTCCGTATTGGTTGTCTTTAATGTTGACTCCAGTTGTTCACCATTTAAATCATTGCAGTCAGCCCTGGCTGCTGTGGCTCAGTGGATTTGAACGCCAGCCTGCCATCCCAAAGAGTCACTGGCTTGATTCCCAGCCAGAGCACATGCCTGGGTTACAGCCAGGTCCCCAGTTGGGGGTGTACAAGAGGCAACCAATCTACATTTCTCTTATACATCAATGTTTCACCCCCTCCTTTTCTGTCTTCCCTCCCCTTTCTCTAAAAATTAAATAAAATCTTTAAAAAACAAAACCAAAAAAACTGCAATCAATAACTTTTATATACCTCTTTGTCCATTCAACCAGTTATTTCTGAAAATACTAAACCAAAGGGACAGCCCTATTTTAAACATTTTGTTATATATTATCAAATTATCCTCAGAAAGCGTGTTCCAAAGTATGTTTTCTACAGCAATGAATGGGAATTTTTTTTTCCAAGTCTTTACCAACTTCGATTCTTTTAAATCTTTGCCAAAGTGATGCGGAGTCATTATAGAGATGCATTTATTTGATTATTAGCAGAAATGCTTGACAGTTTTATTAAGATATAATTGACATACCATAAAATTCACCCTTTTAAAGTGTACAGTACAGTGGTTTTTAGTGTATTCAGACTTGTGCAAGCATCACTATTGTCTGATTTTAGAGCATTTCCATTATGCCCAGAAGAAATCACTTTCCCATTAGCTGGCACTCTCTGCTGCACTTCCCTGTCTGCTTTTTGTCTCTATGGATTTGTCTTTTCGGGATATTTTCTAGAAGTAGAATAATGCAATATGTAGTCTTTTATGTCTTGTTTCTTTTACTTAGTATAAGGTTTTCAAGATTCATCCATGTTGTGGCATGTATCAATGTCCTTTTTATGACCAAAGACTTTTGTATTTTCTCAATATACCACATTTGTTTATCTGTTCATCAATTGAAGGGCATTTGGGTAGCAAAGTATTTTTAAAGCAGTGAAGTTAATAATTTCTAAGCGATTGTTACTTCACTATTTCAAAGACTCATTTTGTAGGAGCTTGGAGTAATTACACAATAATTTTCATTTGGATCCTGGTATACCCAACATTTTTGCAGAAGTAGTATAATTTTATAAATATTTGCTAACAGTGCAAATTCTAATTTGGGGATGTTGAACAGCTGTTAAGCAGTATGTTTACATTTGCCTCAAGATACAGATAAACTACTCCCTAACCCTGATAGAACTTTCTGCAAAGAGAAAAATGCTCAGTTTAATACAGTGGTTGTATGACTCTTGAGCAGTTGAAATATGGCTAGTGCTACTGAGGAACTGAACTTTTAGTTTTATAATTTAATTTAAAAAAGCTATTTGTGGCTAATGGCTGCAGAATTGGATAGTGCACCCCTAACAAGAAAGGTGTAAGTAAGTGTTGGTGTAAGTAATTATCTCAGTTGCTAGAGCTTAGACATTTGGTAATATGTACAATAAAGGGTATTTATATTATTCAGCATGTTGGGGATGCCAGTTAGTCATATATTTCAGCTAATTACTGATTTAAATTCCTTTTTAGCTTGGTCTAAGATTCCTCACCTGAAGTAACAGGTGGGGAAGCCACTATGCCACTTAAGGGGAGAGGAACTAAAAGAAAGTCACATCATCCAGTTGGTGCCTAATCAAGAGCTAGATGGATTGCAGATCTCCCCTTTGTAGATAAACAAAAGTTTGAGGGTGTTACCACTTCAATGGGAATAGCCAAACAACCTTTTCTTTCTCATTTTTCTAATGAAACTGATGACTTTTTCAAAGTAGGTACCTTTACTCACTGCTTTTCATAGAAGTTCTTTATCAGTGACAGCTTGCAAGTATGTGGAGGGAAGATCTGTATTGGGAGAAAATTTAATACAACTATTTCTGGAGAATTTCGGATAAAGTGGTGCCAGATAATTTGACTTTTACTGTATTAGGTCAGCCTTAAACACTTTTATTTTCTCTACTTTAAAATTACTACTTTTAAAACATGGGCTCTTTTCTATAGGCCACTATTTAATCCAAAAGAATTAGCAATATTTTTAGCCTTTGGAGCCGTCAGTAACTAAAGCACACCCGTATCTTTGGTCAGCAGACTAACAGAGTCATAATTTGGGGTCATTTGACCTGATCACTGGGTTTCATTTTTCCCAGTTCTTCTACTTATACTGTACATTCTTTATTTTAGCTCTCTTCTCATAATTTTTTGCCTTAGTTTCTTTTTTATTTCTGTAAAATCATAAATCACAATTTTATATTTGTTTCTTCCCTAAAAATTTAAGTATTGTGTTGTTTAAAAATTCTATATTATTATTTTTTTAACTTTTATTTTATATATTTTTAAGATTTTTTAAATTTATCTTTAGAGGGGAAGGGAAGGAGAGAGGGAGAGAAACATCAATGTGTGTTTGCCTTTTGTGCGTCCCCTGCTGGGAACTGGCCTGCAACCCAGGCATGTGCCCTGACTGGTAATCAAACTGGTGACCCTTTGCTTCACAGGCCCGTGCTCAATCCACTGAGCTACGCCAGCCAGGGCAGAATTCTATATTTTTTTTGAATAAATATATTCCAGAGAGGCAACAGTGCTAAAGAACACAAATTCAGTCTTTCTAAGCCTTTGATTTCTCATATGTTAAACTGGAATAATAATAATACCTAATTCATAGAGTTGTGGAGATTAGCTAAGATAAGGAAGGTAAAGCAGTTAGCATAGTTTTAAGTACTCAAAAGTGTTTATTACCACTATGGATGTTGCTGCCATTGGACTGGTTGTTCCTACTGGCTTATACAAACCTTACATTTAAAAGTGAGAATTTTCATGATTCTCCCAGTTGTGAAGTTTTTGTGCATGGTCTCTTTAGACTTTTATATATTATCTATTTTATCTTTATTCTTTCACTAAATATAAATATTTATTATTTTTAGATAGAGGGGAAGGGAGAGAGGGAGAAAAACATTATTGTGAGAGCAAAACATCACTTGGTTGCCTCTCGAACTCTGCTGAACCCACAACCCAGGCATGTGCCCTGAATTGAACTGGTAACCTTCGCTTTGCAGAACATTGCCCAATCAACTGAACCACACCAGTCAGGGCTATTTTCTTCCATTTTCATTATAAGAATTTCTTTGTTCTTATCTGTTAAAAAAAAGTTTTATGTTCAGTAGACTCATGTTTTCAGATAGCTACTTATTTTTATGTGTAAGTTTTAAAAAAATATTGGAAAAGTTTTTTATTACCTAAATACGTCTTTAAATTAGATTGTATTCAAAATACTAAAATCACAGGACTATTTACTTTTTAAGTTTTATAAGATACTCCTCTGATTTTCTCACATTTTGTTTTGTAGGTAATTTTAACTAATCAGATGACAACAAGGATCGATGGAAATCAGGCCTTGCTGATACCAGCATTGGGTGGGTAATAAATTAGATAACCATTTTGGTTAAACACATTTTCTCTACCTTTTTCATTTGATGCTTATTGAGTACTGTAAACTCCATGAGAGCAGAGAGTTTGTCTTATTCACTGATAAATCTTAGCATGGAACACTGGGCTTTTAGGTACTGACTCATTTTTTCAGTTAACATTAATTCAACATTTATTATATAGCAACTGCTGGGTCAGGTACTGAGCATATAATTGTCATATGATGATTATTTATTTGTAGAGAGGGAAAGGGGGGGAGAAAGAGAAACATCAATGTGTGGTTGTCTGTCACATGCCCTGTATTGGGGACCTGGTCCACAATCCAGGCATGTGCCCTAGACTAGGAGTCGAACCAGTGACCCTTTGGTTCACTGGCTGGTGCTCAATCCACTGAGTCATACCAGCCAGGGTCATATGATGCTTCTCGCCTTCAGAAAGCTCACTGTCTTAGGCAGGAGGAATGGTGAATCTATTCAAATACAAATTATATAACAGTGAATAGATTTATGATTTTGTTCCTAACCTTAGTCATGGTTTTGTTAGAATACAGTGCTTCAAGACTTATTTCTACTAAAATCTTTGAATATTCTGTCAGAGTTCTTGCTTTTTTTCTGATAGTCATAAATATGTTAGTATTGCTGATATATGGGAGAGTGACCAATATGTTAAACTATAAAGTTTTCTAAAGGCAAATAGAAGATATTGATCTTCAGTGTTGCCTTAAATATGTAAAACTCCATTAATCTCATGATGTTATCCACATACCAGGTTTTTAAAAACCAAGTATAGTCTTGTTATGTTAAATTACGCAAAGTAAAACTGTATTTGATCAGAGGCATTCTGAGAGACTTACAACCTAGTCAGTAAGGCAATATATAAGTATTATGTGTTTTTTTTCCCTCAGGGGAAAGCTGGGGACATGCTGCAACAATACGACTGATCTTTCATTGGGATCAAAAGCAAAGGTCAGTGTAGAGACACGTTAATAATGCTGAATATTGGGTTAATAATACTGAACACTTACCCATTTCTTAGAGCTAGTGCACTGGATGACATCTACTGTGAACTAAAGCCCCATGAACTAAAGCTTTTGTTACCTTGTCCTCAATCACCTAGAGCAAACATAGAAACATGTATTTATCTGCACATTTAGCTACATAGGAAATTCTTTGGAATATTTAAATGATGGGGTGCACCTGAAATGAGTAGGTGTCCAAGGAATGCTACCTTCTAAAGCTCATAGAAAATCAAATACCAATTATTAGCCACGCAGAAGGAGGTGGGTACTGTGTTCCTGGAAGGGACTGAAAGGAGAATAAAATGGGGACCAAAAGTTAACTCTAGGACTATTTTATGTGGAAAATAGGGTGGTTCTTCCTAGTTCCTTAATATATTTCTTCCATGAAATTGTGTCTACTTTTGTTTTCACTAGTATTTTCCTGTCTTGCATTTGTTATCCATTTACTTACCTGACTCTCACCACTATTGTTCTTTAAAATAAAACTATGACAGCATGCAACCTTTGTATTTGTTTTTAAAGCTAGCTGCTGAGCAAGTGAACAAACCAGCTTTTATTTTCTTTAAAGTAGGAAATTGAAAGCAGCAGAATCTTTTATTTTACACTTCTGGAAATGTCAGAATTATGCCAGCCTCTCTGCTTTGAGATTAATTGGTATAACATAGAGTACTTGGTTTTGAAATGCTCTAATAAAAGGGAGAAATTGAGACAGTATGTGGGCAAAGATGGAAAAAGGGGTTACTTAAATACATATGGGGTCTGGTCAGTTATATTGTTTATTTCTTTATTGCATTTCTTTGTTTTTCTATAAAATGAAAAAAATCATCCTTCAGCTCACCAACTTAGGTTTTACTGACTCTGAGCTCATAGCAGAACCAGTCACACATACATCTTTGGCAACTAATTCAGACAGTTTGTGTCTCTTTTAAAGATGGCCATTGCAGAGCTCAGGTGACACTTTTTTTTCTTTTCCATAATATGTAGTGCTTTATAATTGACTCCCACCCCTCAATCCTGTAAATAAGTCACTGTACAGTGGCTTCACAAAAAGAATTTTTTTCTCAGTAACAAAGCCTATTGTAAAGATTCGGCAATTTCTCCAGATGATTCTTTTGAACATACTGCTTATACTTTCCCAGATTTAGCTTTTCTGCAAAATGCATCCCACTAATGATCTTAGGAATTTCCCTTGAGCTAGTATACAGTAGTTTTCCACTGTTGTTCTATTAACTATTCATTGGTAGGATACATGTAAGAAATGAGAATAATAGGAGCAGAGCAAGATGTTTCCTCTTTTTATGCATTTATCAGAAGTAAAGGTTTGCCTTCTTTATCAAATTCCGTAAATTGGCATTGGTTAGGTACCTTTGAGATCAGAAAACCATGCTTAATTTTTGAGTAACCATTTTATGACTTCAGCTTCTTAATTTTTTCCAAGAAATTAGAGAATAATATAGATGAAAATTTTACTCTATCCCATGATGTTATTTTAGTGAGTGCTTGCTTGTGCTCGGTATTTAACTGGGCATTCTATGTACATCATTTTATATTATCCCTTCAATAATTCTGAAGAATCTATACCTGTTATTAACGATGAGAAGACCAAACCCCAGAAGATTAACTAACTAGTAAATAATAGCTATTATTATTTTTTAAGATTTAAAATTTTTATTTACTTACTTGAGAGAGAGGGAAAGGGAGGGAGAAAGAGAGAGAGAGAAACTTCAGTGTGCGAGAGATTCAGTTGTCTCTCCCATACCTCTAACCAGGGACGTGGCCTGCAACCCAGGCATCTGCCCTGACCAGTAATCGAACCAGTGATCCTTCGGTTCACAGACCAGTGCTCAGTTCACTGAGCCACATCAGCCAGGGCTAATAGCTACCATCTATTAAATATTTATTAACTGTCCTTTATTATGCTAAGCACTCTGTGTGTATAAAATTTTATTTTCTAAATAACTCTGAAGTAGATGGTAGTATCCACATTTTATAGCTGGCTATAATAGAGTCCATTCTTTTTCTCCTATAATTACTATTCCTAGAATGTAATTTTAGTATTGTGTTGATTTCTGGCAAATCTGAAAGTTAAAGCTCTTTATCCTCCTTTTAAGGTTGTATTCTTTTTCTCCAAACTGTCTTTTTTTCCAGGCTATGGATGGATATATAAGTAATGTGTGTGTTTTATCATAATCAGAAGTTGACCTCATGAAATAGAATTAAAATAGCTTTATTTTTCATTGTTTGAAACCAACTATCTTCAAGTCATTAAAGTTGCATGAAATCTTTTTTTAGGTATACTTTATTGATTATGCTATTACATTTTACCCAATTTTTCTCCCCTTTATCCCCCCTCCACCTTGCACACCCCTGCCCTCTAGCATTTTCCCTCCCCCTCAGTTTATGCCCATGGGTTATACATGTAAGTTCTTTGGCTTCTCTGTTTCCTATACTATTCTTAACCTGTCACCCTCTGTTTTATGCCTACCAATTATGCTTCTTACTCCATGTACCTTTCTTCCCCTCACCCTCCCCACTGAAAACCTTCCATGTGATCTCCATTTCTCTGGTTCTGTTCCTGACCCTTGTTTGCTTAGTTTTGGTTTTTGTTTTTTTAGGTTCAGTTGTTGATACTTATGAGTTTGTTGTCATTTTACTATTCATAGTTTTGATCTTCTTCTATTTCTTATGTAAGTCCCTTTAACATTTCATGTAATAAGGGCTTGGTGATGATGAACTCCTTTAACTTGACCTTATCTGGGAAGCACTTTATCTGCCCTTCCATTCTAAATAATGGCTTTGCTGGATAGAGTAATCTTGGAGGTAGGTCCTTGCCTTTCGTGACTTTAAATACTTCTTTCCAGCACTTTCTGGCCTGTAAGGTTTCTTTTGAGAAATCAGCTGATAGTCTTATGGACATCACTCCTTTCTAGGTAACTGTCTCTTTAATCTTGGGCAATCTAATTATGACGTGCCTAGGTGTGTGCTTCTTTGGGTCCAATTTCTATGGGACTCTCTGAGCTTCCTGGACTTCCTGGAAGTATATTTCCTTTGCCAGATTGAGGAAGTTTTCCTTCATTTTTTGTTCAAACAGGTTTTCAGTTTCTTGCTCTTGTTCTTCTCCTTCTGGCACCCCTATGATTCCGATGTCGGAATGTTTAAAGTTGTCCCAAACATTCCTCAGGATCTTCTCATTTTTTTTGAATTCTTGTTTCTTTATTATGTTCTAGTTGGATGCTTATTTCTTTCTTTTGTTCCAAATCATTGATTTGAGTCCCAGTTTCCCTCCCTTCACTGTTGGTTCCCTGTATATGTTCCTTTACTTCACTTTGTATTACCTCTATTTCTTTCTTCATTTTTGTGACCAAACTCAGTCATTTCTGTGAACATTGTAATTACCAGTGTTTTGAGCTCTGCATCAGATAGGTTATCTGTCTTCTTATCACTTAGCTCTTTTTCTGGAGTTTTGATCTGTTCTTTCTTTTGAGCCATATTTCTTTGTCTTGATGCACCTATTGAAAGGGACTGGAGACTTAGTTATTCACCAGGGTGGGGCAACCCCCCTCACTGTGTCGTGGCACTGTCTGTAGGGGAGGGTCAGAGAGGGAACATTACTGCTTGCTTGCTCTGTCTGCTGTAGGTCCACTTTCCAACAAACTCTCCTATGAGGCTGGGAGTTTCTCCCACTGTTATAACCTATACAGTATTTTACAGCTAGTTTTAAGTCTTTAAGTTCCCATTCAGCCAGCTCTGCCTTGCCCATGAGATCTGCTGCCTTGGCACGTGTCCTCTCCACTAGGCTGCCTGGTTTTTGTCTCCGTCCCTCCTACTGGTCTGAGTGAATGTTTCTTTAACTCCTTGGTTCTTGGAGTTGCATGCAGTTTGATTTTCTGGCACTTCTGGTTGTTTATTGTTTTGAAATTGGTTATATATTTTTTTGGTTGTGCAAGGAAGCGAAGCATTTCTTCCTGCTGCATGAAATCTTGTATGTGGTTTAAATTTTAGTTTATCTTGAAAGAATGGAAATAGAAATTCACATTGGGGGAAAATGTTATGAAAATAAACACTTTCAATTTGAGCAGAAAACTAAAAACTTTGACTAGCTCTCAAAGTTATTGAAGAGAATTGAACTTAAGTATCCCATCTCATGGCAGTGTCCCCATCCTTCACCAGCAACATCTGATTTTTACCCTTTGATTAATAATAGAATAACATTTCAATAGTTGTTAAAAGATACTTTTGTCTCTATCCTGTGTATTGTACAGGTTTTCCTTCAATTTACATATTCATAATCATATGAGACTGAGATTGTTCAGAATTATACCACTCTTTGCCAAGAAGATCTGGTGGTGGAGTGGAGTAATATAGCAACACCCCCACATAGTATTTCATATGTGTGCTCAGCTGTAGAGCACAAATTGTGCTTCTGTCTTGTTTCTCTCTGACCTAAACTACGTAGTTCAGCCATATGTTAAGCTTCATCTCAGTTGAGGACATGAGCCAAGTGATTCTTTGATTTAGTTTGTTTTTTTTGAAAAGATCTCTTGAGATGCAGACATGAAATATACAATTTAACTTTTAAAAATATTTCCTTTTCTTTATTTATTTTTATAGAGGGGGAAGGGAGAAAGAGAGGGAGAGAAACATTAGTGTGTGGTTGTCTCTCATGTGGCCCACACTGGGGACCGGGCCTGCAACCCAGGCATGTGCCCTGACTGGGAATCAAACCAACGACCCTTTGGTTTGCAGCCCGTACTCAATCCACTGAGCTACACCAGCCAGGGTTATACAGTTTAATTTTTACTTAGAAATTCAAGGAAGATTTTCAACCTGAACACTTAATGCCGATTTGACTTTAGGATTTTCAATGAATATGTAAATGCTTCTTTAAAGCTTATTTAATTTTTCTTTTTTTTTTCTAGAAAAGTCAGAAGAACTAGGTCCCTTTTTGAACATAGTATTAGATACTAGTTTTTCAGAAGGTTAGCTAATTTTCGTTCTATTGAATCACAGAGATTTTTTAATAGGGTGGGTTAAAATATATGATGCTTCTATTTTTCTGTTATATTTTGCATTAAAGAGGGAATATCAACTCTAAAAGCATTGTAAAAAAGTTATACTCACTCCCTATGATAACTATTCTTATATATTACCTGCCAGGTATTTTCTTTATGCATACTGTTATAATTCTAGAGCAAATGACATTTTGGATTCTGCTCTTTTCATCCTAAAAGAATAAACCTAAAACACTGAGCTAATGGACTATGATTTCTGACTGCTTCCCTTTTGAATTGTGCCTGAGTAGAGGGGCAATTTCAAAATTAATAAAGCAACAAATCATAAACCAAGATGTCCTTTTTGAGTTGTCTTTGAAAACAAGTCAACATTATATTACATGTAAATAAATGCTCCTTTTAACTCTGAGTTTATTATTTTTCTCTAAGTTAGCGCAGTTAAATCATTTTGTGTGTGTGTGTGTGTGCGTGTGTGTGGTAAAGTATACATAACACAAACCTTACCATTTTAACCATTTAAGTGTACACTTCAGTGGCATGAATTATAGCCACAATTGTATAATCGTCACTACCATCCATCTCCAGAACTTTTTCATCTTCTATACTAAAACTTTGTACCAATTAAACAGTTCTCCATTCTCCCCTACTACCAGCCCCTGGCAACCACCATTCTACTTCTGTCTCTATGGATTTGACTACCCTAGGCATCTCAAATAAGCGGAATCATACAACATTTGTCCTATTGTGACTGATGTTATTTCACTTAGCACAATGTCCTCAAGGTTTACTGTAGCATGTGTTAGAATTTCTTTCCTTTTAAAGACTGAATAATATTCCATTATATGTATATGTCACATTTTGTTTATACATTCATGTGTCAAGACACTTGGATTAGTTCTAGCTTTTGGCTATTGTGAGTAAGTTATGTCACTTTTAAAGCAATTTTAAAAGGCACTTTAAAAGGTTTTGCTTTTATATCTGTTGCTGTTACAGTATTTGAACATAGTAAGAGCTTAAAATTTTACTTTTCAACTACTTTCAGCTTTAGTTTTATGTTACTTACTTTGTAGACTACATAATGAAATTCTGCCTAAACAGATTTTGTTCTGTCACGACAGTGATATTTTTGGACATAATTATTTTGAAAGAATGTGTCTTGCTAGCTTATTTGTATTAGTATATTATGAGTATATTATGATTATATTAGTATAAGGAACATACTTATGTATATCCCAACAAATTGTCTTAATAGTTACAACACCCCCCAAAACAATTACTACGGAAAGTTTGAAGAATATAGATTAAAAGAAAACCTTTACCTTATAATAACAATGTGGCTTTTTTATTGTAGCCTTCTAATAACTTTTCTATATATGTGTATTATACGTACTAATAAGTACAGGATCATACAGCATAACTTTTATATTATTAATATTTTCCTATCTCATTAAATATTTTTTCCCACTATATTTTCTTAAGCATAAATAGTATCTCGTTGTTTATTTCAGCAATTTTCAACCTTTTTTAGCTCATGGCACAAATAAACTAATTACTAAAATTATATGACATCAAAATGTATTTTTTGCTGATCTGACCAAAAAAAAAAACTTTTGGTATACTTTTGATTCATTCATACCAGATGGCTATTGTGTTGTATTTCTTTGACAGTCTAAGGGAACAGAGGTCAGTACCCCTGACTAAATAAACAGGCATTACATGTTTTAAATATTCTTGCAGCACACTGGTCGGAAATTGCTCATTTATTTGAATCAGTCATTGGACTTTTAGGTTGCTTTAAAATTTCACTTATGTAAACAAGTATTTTGTTAATAATACTTATAATAATGTTGCATGCATACATGTAGCTATTGGTTGAAGGGAGTACTTTTGATTTTTTTTGCTTTGTGTGTTTTTAGAGAACAAAATAATACAATTATATAAAACTATGTTTGTTATCAAATCAGTCACCTGAACTAATTAATTAAGATTATGTGTTTCTGTATATTTTTTTCTCTAAGCAGGTTGGCAACATTGTACAAATCACCAAGCCAGAAGGAATCTACAGTACTGTTTCAAATCACAGTCAGTATTATTTGATTAGAGTGTGGTTTTGGTGTTGGTGGGCTATAATTATGTAAAGAGAATATTTATAAATTGCTTCTGTTAACTTCGCCAGGCAGTAAGCCAATTTGAGGACAGCTTTGGATACTTAGAATTATCCCCCAATATCGAGATATACAAACACATAATAATTGAACTGAAAAAATTTTTTAAGATTTTTTAATCTTTTTATCTTTAGAGCGGAAGGGAAGGAGAGAGGGAGAGAAATATCAATGTTTGGTTGCCTCTCATGCATCCCCTGCTGGGAAATGGCCTGCAACCCAGGCATGTGCCCTGACTGGGAATCGAACCACGATCTTGTAGTTCACAGGCCCGCGTTCAATCCACTGAGCTACACCAGCCAGGGCTGAACTGAAAAATTTTTAAAGGTTTTATTTATTTATTTTTAGAGAGAGGGGAAAGGAGGGAGAGGGAGAAAAACATCAGTGTGTGAGAGAGACATTGATGGGTTGCCTCTCACACACCCCCAAGTAGCGACCTGGCCTGCAACCCAGGCATGTGCCTTGACTGGGAACCAAACCAGCGACCTTTCAGTTTGTAGGCCAGCATTCAGTCAACCGCACCACACCCACCAGGGCTGAAATTTATTTTTAAGAACTGAGGAAATCGTGTTTTGAGGGGTAATATGTCTCATGCCATATGTGATGTCAGGATATTAAATATTTTTAAGGTGAAAGTTGTTAAGGATTTTCATGAGATTAACTACCAACCTTACTCATTTTGGTCTTTAGATACTATAGGTTTGTCATAGCCATGAAATATATCCTGCTTTAAAATGTTAATTTTCCTATAATTGTATATTATAGAACATAGATTTTTACTGAAATATGCATATTTATCAATAGTTTTGAGCCAAATATATTCTTGGCATCTCATATTTTAGGGACAAAAACAGAAACATTCTGAAACTGAGCTATGTACTTAGACTTTGCTCTGCCTAGGTACACTAAAAGTATTCCAATTGGAAAACTTTATTTTAGAGTATTTGATTGCGAAAATAAGTTTGTAAAACACCTAAGTAATTATTATGTTATTTTCTTTCACTTCTTCCAGTAGTGTCACCATGAAGTTTGTAAGGGTTGTTTTTTAGAGAACATTTTTATAATGCAAGGTTATTTTTGCGTGTATGTGTAAATAAATATATAAAAATACTCTAGATATAAAATACTTTAGTATAAATATTAAAGGCTTGGACATTTAACCTCTTTATTTACAGTGCTTGATAACTTCTAGTCCAACAATAAATTAGCTCTCTTATCAATTACTTAAAATGTTTGGAAGACCAATCATTATTTTAGATGCTCTTAAAGCATACTTGTGTATTTTTTCATCTCTCAGCCTCAGGGATTTAGAGATGCTGTTGTTGCCCCTTCAGTGCAAACAGAAGATTCCTTGAATTCCCGGAAACGGTCACGAGAATCAGAGGAAGAACAGGAATCCAAAGACTAATCTCAGTGTGTATGTGTGTGTGAGAGAGGGGTAGAAAGAGAGAGAGAGTGAGAGAGAGAGAGATTGAGAGAGAGAGAGAGAGAGAGAGTGTGTGTGTGTGTGTGTGTGTGTGAAGTCTGTCTGAAAAAAGTTCAGCCATTGTTAATATAATGAGAATGGTTTGCATGATATCCATGTAACCTGGCAGCCAAGAGGAGTGGACTGGAATGCACATGCGTTAACAGTGATAACTTCACTGTACTGGTCAGTGATGTGGAAGACACCATTGAGTGAGCATGTGTACTGTGGGGCCATCACATTCAAAATGAGCAAGTAGAGGAACAAATCTGCATCGGATTTTGCATTAAGCTTGAACATTCCTCGATGGAAATATTTGGATGGTTCAGAAGGCTTTCCAGGATGATGCAATGAGTACAGCACAAATAAGGTGTGGCACAAATGCTTCAAAGTTGGTCAAGAATCTGTTGCAAGTGATCCACGTTCTGGAAGGCCTGCAACCAGCAGAACACCTGAGAATATTGAATGTGGAGGGGCTGCAGTCAAAGAACAGTGACCCAGGAGACTAATCACCTCTATAGCCCAGATTTGGCACGCTGAGACTTCTGGATTTTAGAAAAACTAATCACCTTTGAAAGGGAAGAGAGTCAGGAAAATACGATGGGGCAGTTGTGGCCATTCCAACAAAGGATTTTGCAGTGTTTTGAACTGTGGAAGAGATGCTGGGAGAACTGTGTGAGGTCCCAAGATGCCTACTTTGAAGGGGATGGAGGCATCATTGTCTTTTATACAGTGTTTCTTATATTTTATATCTTCAATAAATGTTTCTTTTTCATAGCACGTGGCTGGATACTTTCTGGACAGACCTCAATATGTATTGATTGTGTGAGATGCAGTGTTTACAAGTAGACTCATTTGTTTAGAATATAAACACATACTATGGCACAAATGAATCAGGAATATAACAAGTAAACTGTATGTATACTTAATGAATATGATTCCCTGAAAGTTTTTCTAAAGCAGTGTTCTATAATTAAATTGTGCCCTGTTTTAATTTTTAGTAATATTCAGTAGAGATGATATAGGTATTATATTTTGCAAGTTTGGAAAGCTGATCTCATGTGGCTAATCAGGCTGTTTTTACTAATTGCTGAGGAAGAAAAGATTTGCTTTACATTCCTTTTGTGTTCTCCTTAAATATAGCTTTGATGATTCTAAAATGACCTGTTTTATTGTTATAAAGGAAACCTAGCACATCTGAGTCAGCATATCATTATATTCAGTCTTATGGGTAGCATACACATTTAGATGACCAATCTGATTTTAGTGACCTCAATTCTAAAGTCTAAGCCATTTCTTTATAATTAAAAATTTTTTTTAAAAATCCTCACCTGGGGATATATTTATTGATTTTAGAGAGAGAGAGGAAGGGAGAGAGAAACAATGATGTGAGAGAGAGATACCAGTTGGTTGCCTCCTGCATGTGCTCTGATGAGATCAAGCCCACAGCCTTCTGGTGTATGAGATAATGCTCCAACCAACTGAGCCATTTGACCAGGGCTGTTTTTAATTTACTTTATAATGTTAAATGAAGGACTTTGGAACTGTGTGTTTCATTTAGAAATTGTCTGGAACATATATCTTCCAGAGTAGTCAATAAAATCACAGGTAATCATTTTTACATTTTTGAAAAATGTTGTTATTCTAGAATTCTAGGTGTATCTACATTTTCCTCTGAAAAGTCTTAACACTGCTTAAATACATTAAAAATTTGGATTGAGTGGTTTAAAAATAATCTAAAACTGTTTTAGCACCTGGTTCTTCTTAGTAATTCTCAGTTCATTCACAAAATTTACTTTGGTTTCCAGTGGAAGAAAAGTCTAAGATAAAGGTGAGATAATTGATTATTACATACTGCGACAGCCATATTTTCCATCCCAGACTGAACACTAAATTCATAAAATTCAAAATACATGATTACTATGAAATTGACTAAGCATTGGATAAGCAGACTTTGCCAGGACTTTCTGAGAGTGGAAGTGGGCACTGCTGACAGTTACTCCAGGGCAGTGGACATAAACCAGGATTCTTCCTAGCAAATCAGGCATAGGGTCATCCTAATTATATAACACTAATTTTAAATGATTAATGTAGGATAGCTGATTGTAACTATCGTATGTTAGGGCTTTAGTGCTTTAAATGATTTAATGTAGGATAGCTGATTGTAACTATCATATGTTAGGGCTTTAGCGCATATGTTTTTATTATAATTAGTACAGTCATTATTAAAAAGTACTCGTTTTATATTCAGTTTGCTCTAATCATGGAATCAAGGGTGGGGTTTGTAAGTGATGAATATCAGTGTTACCAGGCATCATATACAGTAGGATCTCATAAAGAACTTCAAAAAACTATAGGACCCTGAGTATAGACAAAGGCCAGTGTAGTTCTGTTTCCAATTGTTCTGGTTGCTATTGCTAAAAAGATGCTTACTTTCTAGTTACAAACATAACATACACTTAAATTTTAGTCTACTTGAGTTGCAATAGTAAAAGGACAGAATTAAAACAATTTTCTTACAGTATTAGAGGCTAGAAGTCTGAAAGCAGCATACCTGCCAGCATGGTCTAGTTGCGGTGAGAGCTCTCTTGCAGGCAGCTGCCTTCTCATTGGTGCTCAAAAGACCTTTCATTGGTGAATGCACATGGAGAGAGATTTTTCTCTCTTCATCATCTTACAAGGTCACCAGTCCTATCAGTTTTGGACCCACCATATGATCTTATTCAACATAACTTACTAAAGGCCCCGCCCTAAACAGATACAGTCATATTGGAGGTTAAAGAGTTTGAACATAGGAATTTTGGGAGGATGCAGTATAGTCTAGAGCATTCTGCTCCTGGTCCCCAAAATTCATGTTCTCATGTGCAAAATACACATTCCATCCCAACCACTCCAAAACTCTTAACTTATTCCAAAGTCTCATTTAAATATCCTCTAAGTCAGATATGAGTGAGATTCAAGGTACAATTCTTCCTGAGGTAATTTCTCCCCAGATGTGAACTTGCGAAATCAGACAAGTATTTTCAAGCTACAATGGAGGGAGAAGCATAGAGTAGATGGTCCCCCTCTAAAAGAGAAATCAGAAAGATGAAAGGGGTGATGGGTTCCAAGCAAGTCCAAAATCTAACAAGGCAAAGTTTATTAAATCTTAAGGCTCATCAATAGTCCTCTTTGGTTTAATATTCTGCCTTCCAGGTCAACTGGGGTGGCAGCATCACCCCTACAGCTTTACCCTGGGGTCCTGCTTCCAAGGCTCTGCCAGATCTAGCCCTTAAACCTCTGGCAGAGGCTGTGTGATTGTTGAAACTGAGGTAGTAGCTCTGATGACCTTTGAATTGCCTTTGGGGAATTTTTTCTTGAGGAATAACTCATGTTTGCAGCTAAATAGCTCTCTACAGTCCTATCAAATCTAAGAAGTCCAACAGCCTTCCTTCAGTTTGTCCCATCTCTTGTCCACTTCAGTTCAAACTGTCATTCTTTCCGCTAGTATAATTCCATAAGCTCTTTACGGGATGCTGTCCAGCCATACCTGAGATGTTCTCTTCAGAATATGATATCTAATTTTGTACAATATGGGTAAGTTGAAATTTTTTCTTTTTCCTTAACAATTCTTTTCTCAAGTCACATCTTTCGCATTTTACTATAAGTAGTCAGGAGGAACCAAGCCAGTCCTTCAATACTTTGTTTAGAAACCTCAGCTAAATAACCAGTTTTATCACTTGCAAGTTCTGTCTTCCATAAAACACTAGAAAATAGTTCAGCCCAGTACTTTGCCACTTTATAACAAGGATCATCTTTCTGCCCGTTTCCATTAGCATGTTCCTCCTTTTCATCTGAGAACTCACCAAGTTTCTCTTAACATCCATATTTCTAACACACATCTCCAAACTCTTCCAGCCCCCACCCTTTACCCACCTCCAATGCCTCTTCAAACTTTTAGGTATTTGTAATAGCACTACTCCACTTCCCGGTACTAAAATCTGTCTTTAGCTTGGACTGCCCTAATAAAATACCATAGATTGGTCGTCTTAAAATAAGTTTATTTTCTGCCCTGGCTGGTGTAGCTCAGTGGATTGAGCGCAGGCCAGCAAACCAAAGGATCTCGGTTCCATTCCCCATCAGGGCACATGCCTGGGTTGCAGGCCAGTTCCCAGCAGGGGATGCATGAGAGGCAACCAAACATTGATATTTCTCTCCCTTTCTTCTTCCCTTCCCCTCTAAAGATAAATAAATAAGAATTTAAAAAGTTTATTTTCTCACAGTTCTGGAGGTTAAAAGTCCAAATTAAAGGTGCTAGCATGGTTAGTTTCTGTTGAGATATATAACTGTCTTGTAGATGGCTTCCTTCTTGCTGTGTCCTTAGATGACAGGGAGAGAGAGATTAAGAGTGAGCTCTCAGGTGTCTCCTTATAAGGGCACTAATCCTATCATGAGGGTACCACTCTTGTGACCTCATTTAACATTACCTCCTAAAAGCCCAACCTCTAAATACAGTCACATCGGATGTTAGGGCTTCAACATATGAATTTGGGGAAGACAATTCAGTCTGTAACACTGTTGGAAACAAATATGTTCATATTATTTTAAAGCTATATCATATTGTAACCTACTTTTAAAAAGCTCTAATATATCCTCATGTATTCCACATAGTGAAATTTTTCTGTGGTAGTGTTTAAGATGTGTAACTTTAAAATTTCTTCTGGAGTTTTTGTTATAGTATATTTTTTGTTATAGACAATGCTCCTAATAAGCATGTAAGTTCCTTTTTAAAGAAATTGAAATTATGATTTGTATTAATTTTCAATTGCTGATGTAATACATTACCAAAAATTCAGTGGCTTAAAAGAACACAAATTTATTCTTACAGTGATTGAATCTGAAGTCAGTTTCACAGGGCTAAAATTAAGGTGTTAGCAGGCCAGCCTGCATTCCTTTTGGAGGGTCTAAGGGAAAACCCATTTCCTTGCCTTTTCTAGCTTTTAGAGGTTGCCCTGCATTCCTTGCCTTGTAGCCCATCTTCAAAAAGCAGTGTGCATCTTCCAGTCTCTTCTCCATTTCCATTGACTTCTATTCACTCTTTCTCTTGCCTCCCTCTTTCTTATAAGGACCTTTTCAATTACATTCAGGGCGTTGACAGGTGATCCAGGATAATCTCCCCATCTCTAGGCCTTTAATTTAATCACATCTGCAAAGTTCCTTTTGGTATGTTAAATTAGCATTCACAGATTCTAGGATTAGGTTGTAAACATCTTTAGGGGAGCCATTGTGCAGCCCACAAATAATGTGGTAGTGTGATTCAACAAATAGTGACCCTTGACACATTCATATGCACATTACAGTTGGAAAAGCATTGGGACAGACTTGTTAACATTTTTTTTAATCCTCAGATGAGGATGTGTTTATTGATTTTAGAGAGAGAGGAAAGGAGAGAGAAAGCAACGTCATGCTCCAACAGGATTGAACCCCCAACCTAGGTATGTGACTTGACCAGGAACGGAACCCACAACCTTTTGGTGTACGGGAGGATGCTCCAAACAACTGACCCACGTAGCCAGGGCCTGATAACATTTTAAACTGTATTTATAAGTGGTCATCCCATTTATGAAATAAAAAAGAAAGGATATGAGAAGAAAGGATAGTTTCTTTGCTTTTTGAAAGCTTTATTCTTCAAAGAATATTATTCTTTCTTAAATATAAAATATATGTAAGTATAAACTTTTTCCCGCAGTC